GGAGCTATGGGAATATGGCAGCAAATTGCCACCAATCCTTATGCTTAAGGAGGTGGTGGCAATATTTAAGGTATATGCACCTTATATTACTTTGGTTGAAAGATTCCGTTGAAGGCTTCTCTTAATAAACAAAGTGAAAAAGGGTTATGACCTTGTGAAGCTACAACAATACGGATGAATATTATGACTACAAAATTACGGATGAGGGTACAACAAAAAATCCATACGAAATTATATTATGTAATAGCAACGGGATTTTGCGATTCTAAGGGGGTACAGTGCAATTTTTCTCAAGAATATCATATGGATTTTTCCCTACTCCGATCTTGCCGTCACGTATTTGTCGCAATTAACGTGTGTTGGAAGGATTTTCAAGAGAATCGGCTCAGGTATGTAAAGGCTATCCCTTCTTTCTTTTGGCATGATCTATACGACACAAACGAAACGAGCAAATGCACAATTTCCATAAATGACTCTATTAATAGAAATACTAGAGATGCTTATGTTCTTGATTCCCCATATTTCATATTATTCTATCATATGTTCATGGGTCTCAGAAAAAACGTAAGATTGATAAAGTTTAATTCATGATATTAATCAAAGGTATAATGGTCTTATGACGTTCCAAAAGATTCTTTTGACGTACTTCTCATGCATCGCATTCATTTACATTGACCCATGACCAGATGACGTTATATACGCATATATATATATATATGTATATGGGATATGCGAAAAGGTTACGGCGTTATATACGCACCACCACCTGATCAGCTGGTATACGTTGATGATTTACCCACAGTGGCCGAGATGATATGATGGGATGCCCTCAGAAGCTTGATGGTACGAACGCATATACCCATGCAAGGTATGACATTTGTACGCATATGCATGACATTATAATATTAAATGATTCATAGAGCTATTCAGACTTACATGTCGAGTCTTTTACTCCATGTTTTTTATTTACTGATTTTCATTCCTTACATACTCAGTACATTATTTGTACTGGCGTCCCTTTGCATGGGTATGTCGCGCCCCATTTTTCCTTGCAGAGTCCGGGTTTTGACATTCATTGGGAGCAACTCATTTCCTTTTGGGAATTGGGTATTTGACTTTGAATAGTCGCCACCTAAGGGATTAAGGTGTGTTAGGGCACCTAGAGCAGATAACTCATAAAACCGGTTTGCGTTACCACAGACTTGGGTAAGGGCTCGGAATAACCTTGAGAGGAAGGAGTTAGGCACCCCTCGCGGTCCACAACGGTGGGTCCCGGCCGAAATTGATTCATGTGAATTAGTCATTTAACAAATAGATAGTCTAAGCACACATATAATATAGAGAAAATTTGACTGATAAGCAGTCTAAGCACATATGTACGATAAAGGAACTTTAACAAATAAGCAGTCTAAGCACATATATATAAATAAGATGAGGGAGGTCCTAGGTTTGTTGGCCTATAGGATCACATCTGTACAATACCCGGTAAGCCTTCCTCAAATAGAGGGGTTACACGTGGCATTAGCGCACATGTCATCATATCCTTTACTACCCAATTACCCTCCCTTGGTCATAGCCTAAATCATTCTAACAACCTTAAGATGTATCCTATGCGTGCATTATATAGTCCCGGAGGTATTTAGGACTCCTAGTTAAGGTGGATCTAGACTCTCCTACAATGATTAAAAGGAGAAAATTCTAGGCGACAACCAAAACAGTTAGGACTGTCAAGTAAAGAACAATAAAGGGGGCTCACATTTTACCTCCACAAATAGAACAAACAAATGCACGTCTCAGGCAGCAGTGTTTTAGACATTTGAAAAGAGTCCTAATGACAGGATATCTAGGTGAGCACAAATCAGAACATATGCAAAGCTTTATTAAAGCGGGAACCAATACCTAATCAGTTTGCCTACTGATTTTAGAGGGGGTGAATCTTGACAGTTAACAGAAGCACAGTTTTTGCAGTTTACAGGATTTTAATCGTCCTACAGGCTTGCCTAGGCGTGTATCAATGACATCCTATGAGCATGATATCTAGTCGTTATTCAGAAGTATAATGAAACAGTAAACAACTTCAAGCAGTTTAGGTCCTATAGGCATGCTGTCTAGGTACAATGATGGATTTTAAACAACGGAAACTAAATGCAGCAATTTTAAAGCCGGATTGGCATGCGGAGAATGATTTTAAAACCACAGGCGCAGTTTCCAGAATGTAAGATTAATTTTACCCTATAGGCATGGTTTCTAAATATTGAACATGCTGAACTTATTCATCACGACTCCTAAGTGCAGAAATGAGTCATGATATCTAAAAGTGCAAGACTGATTTTTTAACCTACAGGCATGGTATCTAACCATTCCCCAACAAAATATGTATAATAATCCCTCCCAGTTTACTAATTTCCCCAATATCTATTTACAAAGTAAATAATATTACAAACCAAGTGTAGAATGAATTACAAGAATGATGACAGTATACTATAGGGAGCCTGGATAGGCCCAAAGCAAAACCTGGGGAACCAGCCCTTCAAACAGTCTCGATTGCCACATCTCATAGTGCCAGGGAGGGTGTCTTAGTGTGTCAAAGTTCCCAAGTGCCTCTAAGACCCAGGGCAGTGCTCACACCAAGGCCTCTTTAAGGCTAAACAGCTTTTGCAGTATGGAATAGCCAGCCCCAGTGTGTCAAAGTTCAGAGGAGCCTCATGGACTCCAAATCAATGCTCACACTAGAGGGGCAGGGACTTAAGCATTCTAGGAATTGAAGTGATAATAATTTGCAAGAACAATTTTGAGGAAAAAGTAGTTTCAGACTTTCAGGAAATCAGTAGTAAACAGAATCATTCAGTTCCTGGAACCTAGGAAAAGATTCCATCCAAACAAGTAGCATTCAGATTACTTAAGCTTATTGGCTGTTACTAAGTGACCAAACATAGAAGCAAGGCATGCTGAAAATCAAATAGCCACATGTAAGGGATAATATGGATTGAGGAGCAAAATATCCAGATAGGGGGTTCATTCTTAGTAGGGGAGTAGGCAAGACATAGATCTAATTTTAGACATAAGTAAACATGCCAACTTGTTGAAAGCAAAACACATAATTCTGATTAGAAAGCAGGAGTCAACATGCTATTGTGGTAAACACATATATTGGCCTGGAGTGGACATAAACACGTAGATTGAATATTAATAGACATGTTAGGAAACATATAGTTAGACATGCTATTGAATATATAGTTTGAACAGAAATAGCCACATAGATTGGACAGAAACAGTCATGCTAGCAAACACATGGATTAAACAGGGGTAAGCATACTGGTAAACACATGGATTTAAACAAAAGTAAACATACTGATGAACATACAAATTTAACATAAGTAAACATGCTAATAAACACACAAATTAATTGAATGACAATAATAGAGGCATACCAGTTAAGGAAGCAGAAACAGAAGGTAAAGTAGACAAGATTCAACAGCCTAGCCTTGGCTTTCAGCTGGCTAGTCAAGCAGTGATCACAAGTAGAGGAGAGAGAGATGAGAGGAAATTTTTGTGTGTGTGTGTGAACTATTGTTTGTGTCTAAGATAGAATGAGAGTGCATATATATATATATAGGAGTCGAAGAGTGCAGGTAAATAAGGCAAGGCAAATTGACATTGCAAAAATAAGGTAAGGAAGTAATCAGATAATCAATCAAGCTTGATTGGGGATAGGAAATTAGGGAATTATACCATAAATAACTAATTGAATTTCAAATAAGGCAAGAAGTGTTGGGCTAAAACGGCCCAATGACACTCTTAACATGGTGTGATATTTTTCGCTTTGGGCCAAGCCCGCACGGTTTTTCCCAAAAGGCCTCACTCCATTAAGAGATCCCTACACCTTATATGTAGACTCCCAATCTTTTCAGCTACCAATGTGGGACTTTGTTCGCACACCCAACAATCTCCCCCTTGAACTAAGTTCCACGTGGCCTACTACCACGATTCACGGGTCAATTTTCGAGATTCACTGTGTGCCACCCATATTGTTAGAGTATTATGGCAACCGAAGCCCGCAACTAGCTTCTTCTTGTGTGTGCACCGCCCTGCACCATCACTCCGCCATCTCCATACTTTTTTCGCTGAACCTGGGCTCTGATACCAGTTGTTGGGCTAAAATGGCCCAATGACACTCTTAACATGGTGTGATATTGTCCGCTTTGGGCCAAGCCCGCACGGTTTTTCCCAAAAGGCCTCACACCATTAAGAGATCCCTACACCTTATATGTAGACTCCCAATCTTTTTAGCTACCAATGTGGGACTTTGTTCGCACACCCAACAATAAACACCCAACAAGAAGAAGGTTTGACAGTCAATTAAGGTTAGAACCCTTAAATCAAGTAATCAGTTTCACAAATAACGCAACACGGGTAATCAGAGACCAATCAAAGGGTCAATCAACCCATAGATAGACAAGAGATGTCAATTAAGAACTCGGGATTAAGGAAAACAATCAGAGATCGGTAAATTAGTTTAGTACACAAATGAAACCCTAGATAATTAGGCTAATCTTTCAATTATTCAAACAATAACAGATAAGAGGTTGAAATCAAACACTGAATATTCAAGAAATTGGCCCAGAAACATAACCATGCGAGAAAGATCAAAAGAAACATAAAAACTTCAGAAAACCTTTTGCAAAAATGGAAGTGGAAACCCCAGATAGTTAGAAAGATACTTAGGTTTGATTAGTAGCAGGAAGATTAGGAAAACTTTAAAGAAATAGTCATGGAAACAGAAAGAACTTCAAACATACAGAGATTCGAACAATAGAAATCAGAGAAATCAAAAACCTAAAGTAGCGTAGTGCTAAAAAATCGGTTAATAGTGAAGAAACAAGAAACTCTTTAAAGAAAAATCGACGACGAACTCAGAAACTTTCCAGATCTACAAAGATCTGGATGGATTCATGTTGAGGGTTTTGAAGAAAGAATGAAAGGGTAAAGAGAATCCAGTCTCAAACAAGAGATTTGAACCGTAAAATCATCGAAATAGTAACACTCACAACCATAGACGGACTCTCAGAGAGTCTTGAACCAGATTTAGTTAGATCTCTTCGAGATCTTTCCAGGAAATCATGAGAACGAGCAACCAGGAGAGGTAGAAGATCAGTAGGAGCCTCAAACGGCCATGGAAATCCATAGATCGAACAGGAATCAAAGGGATTAGGGCTGGTTTTGGGTGGCAGCGGCTAGGGTTAGGCTTTAGGTCTCAGAGAGACGGAGAGAATTAGGGATTCTAGGCGGCCGTTTGTGAATAATGGATAGGGTTTTGGGGGGTCGTTTGGTTAAAATGGTAAGAAGTGATGGTGGCCGTTGATCTCTATGATCAACGACCAGGATTTAGAGGGTTTGGGGTCGGGTAGGATTTAATTGGGTTAGGGGTGATTGTTTTGGGTCTGGGGAGTTTTGGGCTGCTTTTGGGTTAATATTAAGGGGCTTGGGTTGGTTTTAAAGGTGGCCAGGTATGAAAAATAAAAGGCTATTTGTTAAATACCCAAACAATTGATAAGAAATATTTTATAAAATAATTAACAGATTATAAGAAATAATTTTCATGCATAAAATGATTTAAAATAATTACTCAATATTTTAAAAATATAAAAGGCTATTTTCTGGTAAGATAATGAAATAATGCATGCATTGGCTATAATTGCAAAGTAATTGCAATTATAACCCTTAAAATATAAATGTGGCTATTTGCGAAATAATTAAAACTTAGTACAAATACAAATAACAAAATTAAGCCACAAAATTATTATAAAACTATTTGTGATGCAATTAGTGATTGTTTATATAAATAAAAATGCTGGGATAAATTAATTAAAAATTCCTAAAAAATACAGAAATTATGGAAAAATGTCAATTGATGTTGATGCATAGTTTTGAAGGCATATATGCTTGTTTAAAAATATTATAGGGAAAAATTGGGTATCAACAGGGTGCGGTGCATTTCATGCCCGCAAGTCTCGATAGACAGGTCGAGAGTCCTCCAAGTAGGTTATCAGCTTAGCGGAAGATGTTGGTGCGCTCCATTTTCTCCGGAGTTGCTTGTTTAGTCAGTATGATTTAGGCGTGTATTGTTTGGTATAGCGGGGCCCTGTCCCGACCCTTATGATAAGTAGGTACTCTTAGAGGCTTGTAGACAGATGTCATGTATACGGATACTTGTATGGCCTTGTCGGCCTATATTTTAAGTATATAATGGATCACATTGGCCATATAGGCCCGTATATCACAGGTATGAGTTTTTATATCATGTTGGGTCATTTTATGTCGGGTATTCCCTCATGTTTACTCTGGTTATCTCATGACGCCCCTTCTGGCCCACTTACCCATGATGATGTAATAAGAAATATACGTTACGTTGGTACTCGGTTGAGTAAGGTACCGGGTGCCCGTTGCGGCCCATCGATTTGGGTCGTGACAATGATGTGGAAGGTGGTTTCCAGAGTGACGTCGCCGGCCAGTACAGGGAGTGTAATTTCTCCTGATGTTCGCTCAACTGCATTGTTAAAACCCGTTAGTGTGATGCAACGCGACACTATCTTATCCTCGAGTTCCATTTGTACAAGTACTCGAGGGTGGATAATGCACGCGCCGTTTCCATCGTCTACCATAATGCGTCTCACATCGATATCTAAAATTCGTAAAGCGATAACAAGGGCATCATAGTGAGGGAAAACCAAAGCATTGGTATCCGACTTATCGAAGATGATACTTTCTTCGAGTTCGTCATATCGTTCATGGGTGATTGACCGTTTGAGCTTGTGGGTTATGGTTAATTTCATACTGTTGATAGAAGTATCATCGTTGCCGCAAATGATCATGTAGATGGTGCGGGTTGGCGAGGGCGGTTTTGGTGGTCCTTGATGTTGTTCACGTCCTCTGGCAAAATTGGTCCTTCCTCGGTCACTCAGCAATTCTTTGAGGTGTCCCTATCGTACCATGTTTATGACCTCCTGTCTTAGACTGATGCAATCCTCAGTTTTGTGTCATCGCTCTTGGTGGAATTTGCACGGGGCATCTGATTTTATGGAACTCAGATCTGACCTCATCTTTTGTGGCCACTTCAACTTTGTTCCGAGCTTCTCCAAGGCGTAAACTATTTCTATAGGTGACACAAAAATTGTGAGCAGATAACAAAGGGGGCATACCTCTTTCGTTCCGGTGAGTCTCTGTCTGTGATCTGGGTGGGCCCTCTTCATGGCGGGAGGGAGGCACAATGGCGCTTCTGACATATGGTAGATGTCTTTCCTGGTTGGGTCGTGGAGCTACTAGGTCCCTCATGATATCATTTCTTCGGTCTTTTCTGGATTCGGCTTGTACCGAGTTTAGCCAATGAGTCAAGCCATTAAGGTCGTCCTCGTCTACTCTGACCTCGGCACAACATGCGTTGTGTATTTCATCCCAAGTAGTTGGGGGGTACTTCATAAGCCAACTTAATAATTTTCTAGTTGCCCTTGAACCATTTCTGCTCAACCCGTTCTGGAAAGCTGCAACCGCCATCCATTCCGATACATTCGGCATGGTCATCCTTACTCGGTTGACACGGGCGAGGAAGTCCCTCAATCCTTCTCCCGGAGACTGCTTGATGGAAAATATGTCGTTTACTCTTGCTTCGGCCTTTTTGGCCCCAGCATGAGCCATTACGAACTTGTCGCCATCTCTTCAAAGGTCTCAATATAATTCACAGACAGTTGTGAATACCATGTTAACGCACCTTCCGTGAGGGTTTCGCTGAATTTATTCAACAAAATGGAGGATACTTGTTCCTTGGCGAGATCATCGCCTTTCACGTTGGTGACGTGGTGAGTTACATGGTCTTCGGTAGCGGTCGTACCATCATATATTTTCAGGTAGGGCGGCATCTTAAAGGTCTTTGGTATGGCATGCGAAGTGGCATCGTCGATGTACGGCTGCTCTAGGAATGAGCCGCCGTCTCTCTTTCGATAGAGCTTAGGAGTGCCCGATATTTTATCGACCCTTTCTTGGTGTTCTCTCATTTGGTCCCGAAGTACTTTGTTATCATTTTCCATTTCCTACATCCTTTTCAGGATGGCCGCGAGAGTGTCGTCGCCTGCATTATTAAGAACATTATGAGTAATACCTGTCGTTGCAGGAGGACGAGGAGGAGGAAGGTGATCATGTTGCTCGTCTGTTTGTGGTATAACGCAAGTCCTTGCATTTTATGTAGTTGTGTCTCGAGCGGGCTTATGGAGGATACTGTAAGTGTGTCAGTCAGCCTAGCCTCAAGGAGCTTTTTTACTGCTGGTGGCGTCTCCTCTGTCACGAATGTGGAGGCTCCCTTACCAAACGATTTCGTGATGCTACAGTGAGGAGGGGGTGACCCGCCTCGCCTGGGGGAGGCACTGGGCGCTGCGCCCTCGTCCACTGCTTCAAAGTCCTCATTGATGATGCTCATGAGGTTGGTAAGGAGGTCGCTCGTTATCCTTACTTTGTCTTCTCTGTTACCTACTATGTCAGATCTATGTATGCAAAGGAAGAGAGTCTTGTTCTTGATTTTTTTTTCTGTTAGCAATACGTGTTAGTTATAGATCTAGAGGAAACTAGAAAATTCCCACAGACGGCGCCAAATTGTTTAACCAAAAAAGTATTAACTTTCGGTTAAACTATAATACTTTATGTAATGAAGGGTTAAACTTAGTTAATAATAATATCTCTAGATATAGATCTTGAAAACACAGATAATGTTGGACAGAGTTGTTACACCCCATATTTTCGTACGTAAAAGTACGTCGTAAGTAAACTAATGTAAGACCAAAAATGAGATCATCTTTGAAAGTATATAAAGTAAGTTAATCATGTTAACTAGGAAGTTATGAATATTGAAGATCATGAAAAACAAGTACAAAGAGGGTTGGAAGGTTCAGAAGCTAAAGCAATTGAAGAAAATAATGTTTCGTCGAAAGTCGACAAGTTGGGAATGTTATAACATGTACTTTTGGGGTGAGACTAGGGTTCTTAACATGATAAGGATATTATGTTATAAGTTTTGTTAGTCGTATGATAGTCAAAGTGTCATGTTTTGAAGTCAAGCGAGTCGTGGAACAAAAGTCGATGAAAGTCATCATAAGTTACGTTCATAAGTTTTACAGAAATTTGGGTCAAATGTAACTGCGATTTTCTCCCAATATACTTTGGGTTACGGGGCGCTCCACCCATAAAATTGAACATCTATGAGTCTATATTCTAATGCATTAAACCGTTTATCAATATAACATCTGCATAGAGAGATATATGCATTTTTGCGAGACTGCATAAACTGCTAGGTGACAAGTAGATGTGTCACCTACTTGCTTAAATGAGAGTCCAAAAAGGGGATATTTCGGGTCAGCCAAAGAGACCATTTATGGGATTATCTCCTGAAATATAACACTCAATTATATAACAATATAACCAGACCTAAACCCCTGCAAACATCCTCCCAAAAATTGCCCACAAATCATAATTGATTTTCTCTCCTTTTCAAGTTCTAGTTGGAGGTACAACCTAGAGTTTGAAGAACCAAGATAGGAGCTGAGTTATTCAAAAAATAAGGTAAGTTCACTGATCTCTTTCATCCATGGTTTCTGCTGTAAATTCATGGAAGTCTTTCTATATTTGTAAGATCTTACGGTACGGTGATCGGAAGCCGTGAGTTTGAGTTATTCACTTGTAGCAGACTGTTTTGTGTTGCTGTTGGATTTCGTGCTTTACTATTATTTTATGGTGTTTTGGAGGAGGAAGGGTGTGGATAAACACCACCTAAATTCAGGGTGGTGGACTGGTCGTTCGTCGTAACATTTTCGGGCAGTTTGACACTACTACGGTGGTCGTTTTGTGTATAAAGAGATTGGGGTGTGTTGGGCTGGTTTGTAGTATTTTATGGTATATATAAGGTTGGAAAATAATGTATATATGTTGTTTTTGTTGTTTTCTCGTGTTATTGGTGTTATCATGAATTTGGAGGAAGGATAGGGGAGATGCTGCCCGTTTTAATACAAAATAAGCTTGTCGTTCATTGTGCGATAGTTGTACCTATCGTCACTTAATGATAGTATTATTATCGTTGTTGTAGATTAAGGTGAGAAGAGGCGAGTTCAACTTGGTGATTGGAAAGATTGTGATAAGGTATGTTAAGGCTAAATCTTTCTTCATTTTAGTATGATCCCGTAACTACATGAGTTTGATAACGAGGCATAAAGAGAAGTTCGTATTCCTGAACTTATATACATTATCCTAGTCTCATAAGTTACAGTATTATCCCTTATCGGGACTTTATATACAATAAAGTACTGTCTTCTTCTAGTAAAGAGAGCAGAGGGTCGATATATATATATATATATATATATATATATATATATATATATATATATACAGTATTACAGTATTTTCACCACCATCGAGCTATAATCGATGGACAGGCCACTATTGGGCAACCTCAGATGAGATGGTAAGTTATATACCGAGCCTACTGTGGCCAAGCACCTATGAGTGAGGCCCGGAATGGCCGAGATACCTAGCCTAGTATGGCCAAGCGCCTATGAGCGAGCCTACTACGGCCGAGCAGTTACACGTACCAAGCCGTATAGGGCCGGACATTTATTTTACTTACTATATTGAGAGAGTTGAGTCAGTATCAGCAGGTAAGTATATCTCCAGACCATCTTTGACTCCCGGTTACTTTTAGTTATTATACTATCAATTCAGTTTCAGCTTTTAGCTATTTTATTACCTTACATACTCGGTACATTATTTCGTATTGACGTCACTTTTCTTGGGACTCTGCATTTCATGCGTGCAGGTTCAGATAGACAGACGGGTAGACCTCCTCAATAGGTGTTGCCCGAGTTCAGTTTGATCGGTAAGCTCCACATTTTTCGGAGTTGCTGGGTCTACAATTTTGTGTACATATTGTGTATATGTTATAGGTAGGTCGGGGCCTTGTTCCGATCACAGTACATCCATCAGTAGAGGCTTGTAGACATATCTTGTCAATTAGTGCAGTATGTTGGGCTTGTAGGCCTTGTATGTATATTTTGTTAGTTTGTCAGCTGTGGTAGTTGTGACAGCCTTGTCGGCCCAGCTTTATATTGATGTTTAGTCAAAGCTCGTTTCCGTTCAATTTTATATTTTGCTTCGCAAATTGTCTTACAATGTGGCCCCATGCCAAAGTATGACATTTTATGTTCAGAGTCCCTCAGTCGCAAGTTGGTACGCTAGGTTAAGTGATGCACCGGGTGCCGGCCACGCCTCTTCAGGTTTGGGGCGTGACAAACTTGGTATGAGTAGTTCTGTCCTAGGGAGTCTACAAGTCGTGTCTAGTAGGGTCTTGTTTATAGATATGTTGTGCACCACATTGTATAAGCATGGAACTACTGGGCATTTAGGAGTTGGTCCCCCTTCTTTCAAATCTAAATCGTGCTCTAGAACTGAGTTATAGGAAATTTGAGTTAAACTTATGTGTTGGTGTTTGCATACACAGATGACAGTGACTAGGAAGACTACGGCTAGCCAGAGGAGAGATATAGCAGCAGGTGAGGGGATCAGCAGGGTACCCCCAGTAGATGGGGCCTAGTCTGAGGCCCGGGGCGAGACCCCTACTCAGCCATTACCGGCTCCTCCACCACTTGGGGGGATTCCTAGGGATACCACACCTCCAGTTCCCCCTCCACTTCCATCAGATCAGGACTTGGGGACTGCGGTGCATTTGTTGACACAGTTGGTAGCTACCCAACAACAGGCTAGGGAATCAGCTAGTGCAAGATCATCTGAGGGTCTGGGAGTTCAGGGTCTGACAGTTTATTACTTTGAGTCCCCAGAGTTCACGGGGTCAGGTCTGGGGGAGGACCCGCAGGATTTCATAGATCAGCTTCATAGGATCTTTCGGGTTATGCATGCGACGGAGAAAGAGGCAGATGAGCTAAGCTTTTCGACTCCGAGATATAGCCGTCCTTTGGTACGAGGGATGGGAGAGGTATAAGGGACGTGATGCACCTCCAGCTATTTGGAGAATTTTTCAAATGCCTTCTTTGACCAGTACTTACTGTGGGAGATCCGACAGGCTCGAGTCGATCAGTTTCTAGCCCTCAAGCAGGGCAATATGAGTGTTCGAGAGTATAGTCTCCATTTTGACTCATTGACCAGATATACACCATCCATAGTTACTACTATGCAAGACAAGATCCACATGTTTATAGCACTGTTGGCTCCAGAGGTTACCGAGGCACGTTCCACCGCTGCATTGCGGGATAGTATGTATATCTCCCGAATTCAGGCATTCGCTCAGAATATAGAAAGGGGCAGGCGTTGGCAGCAGGGTACAGAGAGGAATGAACAAGGGCATCGTAAGAGGATGAGGTTTTCCAGGTCTCAAAAGCAGTCTTAGTGTAGTTATAGGCGCCAGTACTTTGGACGGCCATCTAGGCCTCCGCCACCTCAGTTACAGGGTCACAGGTGATAGGTTTTCAATATCTTTGCCTTGTGTTTTGATGATCTAACAAACATAATGTCAAGAACCAGATAGGGAACCTGACTCACTTGGATTACACTAAAACTAACGGATTCCAGCCAAATGTGAACTTGCTACAGCTTCAGGAGGTAGGAACCCAAATAAGGACCTGATACTCTTATAGGTTCCTCACGGC